TTTATAATTTAAATTAATAAGGGATAATACAATTATTTCATAATTAATTGTAACATAATCGCTTTCACACAATATTATAACAGCGTCATTACGCGCGATGTAATAATAAATGCTGCAATATATGTTGCAATACGTCGAATACGCGTAATAAAAAACAGCTATAAATAAATAGATGAGCGATTCTAAAACGTTTGTTTTCTCTTACCGTAGACTCACGTGTCGAATCGTGTGCCGTTTTTCCAAGTTTAATATACCTATACATTTCATATATTTATCCCAGACAAATATGTGAAATTATTATCTCAATCTAAACCTACGACATGCTTTGTATCAGACACATCTCGTAGAAACTTATATCATCCGATATTTCATCAGTCAGGCAACTCGTTTCTTTATCGCTGAACTCGTAACTCTCTATGATGAAAAAGTCAAACAGGGAGACGTGATTTCGAGAAGAATGATGCACTTGCACTATCGTTGAGACTGTCGCTTATTTTCTGGGAAAAATTTCGGCGATCACGAGATTAGTATCAAGTTGATATTGCATATTGTATTTTTATTTTTTATTTTCACATAAAGGAGCGGTTTTTCGATGATGTACGCAAGTGCACGCGCCACGGAGATGATCCTTGAGCTTTTCCAACATTTAATATCCTGCCGGAAGATGAAATACTTTCATCCTCCGCTTTGTTTCCACGAGGAAAATAGACGAAACCATATCGCATACACGACTTCTTCTCTGCATCTTGTTTCTTTTTCTTTGCTTTCACTTTGTTTCTTGTTGCTTTATTGTATTTTCCACGATTCTTCAAGTTTTCCGTGAAAAACCTTAAAGAAAGAAGCTTATTAGTTTTCTAGGATCATTATTTTCAACGTCTGTTAAGCTCTAACCGGCGGTTAACTTTTCAGAAAAGCGAATAGAAATTGGTTATTTTAAAAATTAACCGTCGTGGGTCACTATTTCCAAGTATTGGGCCGATTGTAAAACCCTATATGGGTCATGAATTATGACGTGCGAGACACATTTAATCGCGTTTTCCTGTATAAGTAGATGCCGCGCGAATTAATCTAATTAATCAAGACTGTCGGCACCACCATAGATCTTAATTCTAAACCTGTCAAGACTGAGAAAATTATTTTGAAATTATTGTGAAGAAAAGAAAGATCGTAAATTTATCAAAATATAATTGCAAATTAAAATAAATTGCAAAATTCGGGAAACGTGATGTACGTTCTATTATTCTAAGCCCGTATCAAGAGTTCTTTTATAATAATTTTCTGTCAATATAATCTGTACTAGTATATAAAAATTCTATATTATAAAGCAAACTAAATAAGATATTGAGATTCTTACAAATGATCAAGTCGATGTTGCTAAGTAAATTCCCATAGTAATCTCGTATGTATGTACAGCAAAGTCTTTAATCTTCTTCATATTGCATTTTTTGTTATTGCAAGGCAGAAAATGGAACATAGAACGTTCGACACGAAAATAACAAATTGAGACAGATCATCTCTCCTTTATCGATGACTCGTATCCCTTGTGTAACAGTACTTATTAGAGCGATAACCCATTAGCGATGTTAGGATGGATGGTACGAAAAAGTAAAGGTAATAAAGTGAAAATGTCAAGGCGTGGCACTTGTTCGACATTTTCCACCTTTTGCGTGTCTCCTCGCTCGCAATATCGTGCACGAGGCGTGGGAGAGGGATATTTACAATTATTGTTGCCTTTTCGATCACGAATAGTAAATGCCTCTCGCCGCGTCGCGTCGCGTCGCCGCGTAGCCTCGTCTCGCTCACGTAGTTCGAAGGTAACGAACGCGAAGTAAGCGAAGTTCATTGTCTGCGACCTTATTCGAGTGCACGGGGTTGTAGACGATCTCTCGCGTTCGCAAATGTAGGCCTCGGTCGGTTAACTGGATCACGACACGCAATTTCTATCCTAGACCTTCGTGAGGCTTGACGCGACGAAATCCGTTATCGCGCGAAATCCGCAGGCGTCAGTTGATCTTGATTCCTGCAAGCGCGATGCAATATTCAAATCCGACGACGGCATTTAATTCTTTGCGACATGTCACGCGAACCAGCGCGATTTGTTATCAGATTTGTTTGTAGTTTGTGATATTTCCGAGAAATTTATTTCCTCGCTTATTGCCTATTATTCATCATTTATTTTTTTATGATAGATTTTAACATGATGTTTATGCGATATAAACTCAGTGATTATATACACATATACATATATAACAACTCGTGTCTCTGCGTATGAAAAGAAACGACGTGTCGATTTTTGAACGTCAGGATTCCAAGTCTTTTCGTCTAGTTCGAAAGAATTTTTAACTTAATTGAATTCTATTACAAAATTTTCCCCACGATCAAATTCAAATCCTTAAGAAATTTAAGAATTTTCTATTTCCATTCGAAGTTCTTGAATTGAATAAAGAATTAGTTCTTTATGGATTACCCTGTACGTGTTCATCGTAATGTCCGTTGGAAGCGAGAGACTTGATACTGAATTATACATAGTAAAACCGACACGTGGGACGTCTGTGGTATACATGATGCAAATGGCGGTGTATAATCGCGCAATCCGATCTTGCCGCGATCGATCATTTTCTCTTCCGATCGCGGGGTCACGAGAGACGTGACGCTGATGGCCCATCGCGACCGTCGGCGTCGTCATCATCTTCGACCATGTCAGACCCTGAACTGAAAACGAGGTTCATTGTCTGTGACCTTACTCTGTATGTCGCGGTTTTATTTGTAGATGCGAAGAGGCCTCGATTGTTAACTAGCGACTGGCATGCTATCCACCTACGCCTTTTTTTCCCCTCGTCGAGAGCGTCGAGATTCGAGCCTCGAAGGGCGGTCGAGAGCCTTCCGAAAGCCTTGGTCTTGATCGCGTGACGCCACGTAGATCCAATTTGTTCTCTCGAGCGGAAGTCGAAAAATTATCCCTTTTCAGGCCATGTTTATCGCCAGTGTATCAAAATGAAAATAAATTAATTTCACATTAGCAAGGATCAACATTCGGCGAAGCCTGTCCTTTGGGGACAGGAATAATATTAATCGTCAAAGTTAATTTTCCAACGTCAATTATCAATATCTGCCAACATTAATTAATCCAAAATTAGATGCTTGTCAATTCCAAATATAATTTAAATAATATTCCGTTTCTCTCGTTATATATATATATATATATGACACTTGATATGATATGTGAGCATGATGTATAGAAAATATTTTGTTGCATAAAAGGTTATTTCGCAGATAAAAGTTTCGAGTGGATAAAAATGAAGAGTTGATGTAAACAAGTGCGCCGGAACGTACGAAAATAGTTTTACATTAATTCAATCTTGTCGTTAATTTCGAGATATCAATCGCGTATAATTACCCACCCTATCAAGCGGCGGTAACGAAGAATAGCTACATATTAAGTGAACATACGAAATTATCGGAAGCTCGTCGAGAATCGCGCGGTACAAATTATTGGTCTGCCGATATTAATTTATAACGATCGTTACTTTCCTATAACGCTTTATCAATTTATAATCAAATTGGATCGAAATGTCGCTGTTGTTTCCAGAACTGATAAATATTTCTGACGTTTATGCAGATGTTGCATTATAGTAGAAGCAATATTGACATTTCTTGCACGTGTGATTTGGTAATAGATTTGAATAAATTGACCTCTTCTCATTTCAAAATTTAAATTGAAATTGAAATGCTAAACGTCAGTTTGTCAAACCTGTGCCAGACGTAGAACTCGAAACGATAAACAGACGTAGAAATAATATTGTATTGATTCTAAATTGGGAAGCGTGAATATTACTCTCGCAATTTCTGTTCGTTCCGCAAGGGAGAACACTTTGGTTGTTACTTGTTTGTTGTCAAGCGGGTCGTCTGGCGCACGAAGTTCGATTACGAAGTGGAATAGGTATGATTGTGATCGGACGAACGAGTCCCGCGGGGCAGACCATTAATGGCGGCGAGTGCAGGTCGCAATTTTCGCGCAGGATACAGCACGTCGTTAAATGAAAGGATACCGAGGTTGCAATCAGCAACGGGGTACGGATACGGTAGCGCGATATACCTCCCTCCCGCGCTTTTCTCTTAAATTAAGTGTCCTAGGATCGTGGCCTGTGCGATATACGCACAACGGGTACATATGTCACATGCCGGGACCGACATATATTCCTCGAAGGGAATGCCGCGCTCGCGTCGAGATATTGAATTCCACGTGCGGACACCCTTTTCGGGACAATTGTGCCGATACTCCATTAATTTCACAGTTTCAAAACGATAGATGGTTATACTACGGTTACGGTATTCAAGAAACATAAACTATAATAGAGAAAAATGCCACAAAAGTCAGCATGTACTTGTTTCTTTTTATTAAAGACTTCAAAAAGCACATCTTCTTATATTAATACCGTCTCGTCATCAATTTTTTAATTTGTAAAATGATGGATAAAATCATAAATGAATGCTTAATTAACTTTTCGTAGAGAACTATTTTAGTTTCCAAGAATGCATGTCGTCCTCTTTGCACAAAGCTCTCTGATAAATGAATATCCCGCAATGGGATGATCCGTACACATATCTCTCGCCACAACAGACGTGAACGAAGAGATAATTGCCTCTGCTCTTTTTTTTCCGGCTGATGAACTGCTATACTACCGTTGAAACCATTTTTCTCCCGATATCGCTAAAAACGTAGCCTTGAGCTTCCGGTGGTTAACAGGTGAGCCATCGAGAGATCAGATTCGGCGAGACGACGGTTTGCCTTGCCAAATGGCAGCGGAACGCGTTAACAACCCGCAGGCCGCATCTGGCACGTACGCGTAGGTAGTCAATATGCCCACATACATAGGCACACATACATACAGACATGTGTACATAACGTATCTACGGTCGGAGAGAGAACTCCTAACTCGCCGTTAGCGAGTCGAGCAGTAGGGTGGCGGAGTGGGTGGCGGTTAGGTGGTGAGCGGATGGGTCGGTCGCTGGCGGGTGGTAGCCTACCTCCAGTCGGGTAGTAGTAGGTGCGCACCCTACGCGGCTACCAGGTGAGTGGGGCAGAGGCCAACCCCCGACACCCGACGCGAAACGCGAAAAACCACTTGTGCGTGTGTCGATCCTGGCTGTCGCGTCGTCTCCCATCGCTCCGATAGAGTTTTATCCTGATCCTCATTGTTATTACGCCGCGCGATTCCTTACGAGATAGGTAACACGTACCTTCTCGGTTTCTCCTCGTCGTACATACCTTCTCTCTGTCCTTCTCTCTCCGTCTCTTTCTATTTCCGTCTTTCTCGCCGGGTCACCCGGAGAACGGTCTTGCAGTGTCCCGCCCGAGGGGCGACATTCCAGATCGATCGTAAGTGATCTACGTCTACGTTGTGGTCGGACATAGATCGTCGTGTAGAGTGTAAAGCATCAACGACGGAGGAAAGAAGAGGGAGCGTTTTGCTCGCGTTCATTTGTTCGTTCGAATTGATCGCGAGAACTCAAAATAGTTGGATACTAATGTCCGGTTCTTCCCGATCCGTGACACGCAGGTGATTCTTGATTCTATTCTCTGAAAAAAATCCGGTGAGTCCGTTGTACGAGAGGAATGTTTCGGGTGAGTCGAACATCCTATGAGGAAAGAATAATGTAAACTGGAGTGCAAAATGATATAAATGTCAAAGAAAGAAAACCTTTAGCTCGGGAACGAGCGCCTGGGGTGATTTTTACATCCTACAGTATCGAAAAAGTAAAGCTCACGTCACAGTAATTTTAATGTGCTTTTTTCGATTTTTAAATATTTCTTTATTTTTCTTTACTTTTTTTTTTAAATTTAGTAAATTTATATATATTTTGTCCCCAAATACTAATAAATTATAGAACAATAAAAAATATACAAAATGTAATTAACCCTTAATCCGCAAACGTTTTTTTAGCACCTTTACGCCGCAAACCTGGGTCCTGACGTTTTTTTTAAGTGTTAAAGGGCTGCAAAAAATCTGAAAAAAATCATGAAGGTGTTTCAAAGCTTCACTTTGAAATATCAATCATAAAATTATAAACAATTTAATTTTTTTACATAATTTGTATTCAAAAGTTATACAACTACATTTGATTTTTGCCCGGACGAAAACGACCCAGATTTGCGGGTTGAGGGTTAATAACAGTGACTTTTAATTGGGATGTAAAAATCCTAGGTGACCATTTATGCCAAGAAAAAAAAATTAGGCGCCCGTTCCTGAGTTAATAAACTTAAAAATCTTTCATGAAAATATAAAAACTAGAAAATATATTTATGATATATAAATATGTAGATATATCATGTATTGTGTATAAATTCTATTATATCCTTAAGTTGCGAAAATACACGGAAAAGAAATTATTAAACTCTCTAAGAATAAATACATTTACTTATTTTCATATTACGTATATAGAAAATATAAAAAGCATTGATAAGATAAAAAAGTAAAAGATTAAATAATGAAAAAGCATGAGATAAAAAATGAAAAATACAAAAGATATGAAAGTTTAAAAAATATTTTGGCTTTTATATCATTTTGTACTTTCAGTACAAAGGCACTCACTTTTACATCATTAATAATGATTTTCACAGAGCAATAATTATTTTAAATAAATGAATTCTAATTTAATGCCTTTTTGCGACAATTTTCTTTCCCAGGATTATCGACACGTCTTCATGATAGATTTTTATTTTGATTGTATTATAATATCGCTTTACCAAAATCTGATTTTAATTTAAGACGGCACAATTTTTTCGCTTAATCATAGTTGTAAAATTTCTTGTCGATTTGACATCGACAGAAATAGCATGACGATTCTTGTAACTTTGCAACTTTCAGCGATATTCTCGAGAGATATTCTGAAAATCTAAGTCGTAGTATTCCCGATTAGTACTGAGAAAGTCATGCGACAAGAAAGTTTTGTAAATTTCACTGATCCTTGGAAGATCACGTGACGTCGATAGCAGAAAAGGCAGCGGCTTCATCGATCCATTCCCATTCCGAGCCTATCCGGGTGTAACTAGGCCGCCTTTCCAGGATCCTTGATGGACGATCTACTGTAGATCCTGAAGAGGAGTTTTGGAAGTTGTCTCAAGTAGATGTCTCGCTAGATGAGCCCGAGAACTTCTTTACGGGATAGATCGTTCTTTCGTGGCAGGAAAATGATCCAGATTGCTAGCGCGCGATAGTTTTTCAAGGATCTCTTGGAAAAAATTCCTTAATTTGAAACATTTTTTATTTTCAAACATTGTTTCTTAAGATATTAACTAATTATTGGGTCAAAGTAAAATGGTTTAAAAGTACAACAATAGAAATAATTTTACGACAGGATAAAAAATATTGCAGGACATTTACAATTAATGTCATGCTAAAAATGGGAAAAATGTTCTAACAAAATATAATAAAATGAGGATTACGTTAATCTTAGTTCTTGCGGTTGCAAGGGAATTGTACGCGGAAAGAGTGACGCGGTATATTATATTATAATAAATAAAAACAATTATCTTTGTGTATGTTCTTGAATAATATAGTATCTGTTATTAATTTTAAAACTGATTATCTTAATAAAAATAGTATAAAAATGATATAAAAAAAATACATTTTATTTATAAGTAGAAACGAAAAACACAGCTAGATAAACATAAATAGAAAATGATCGATTGTGAAGCTTTCATGATATGGAATTAATAAACATTAATACTCTAAGAAGGGAATATTCGGAGAAGAGATAAATTAAAAAATAAATTTTTAAATAAAAACAATCGCGTGCTAGCAGAAAAAATGGAAAAAAGGCGATATACGAAAATATAATGTATAGAGTTATTTGGATCTCCACTAGCAGCTGGTTGATACGCGAATCAACGAGCAGCAGACTGAGATCGATGACACCTATACAAAAATAGAAGGAATGCGCATTAGCTCACGTTTTGTTCGGTTAATTAATCAAGAATCGTGGTAGTACGTTTATATATTGTGGCGATTCACAGACATAACGCTCGTAACGAATGTAGCACAACGCGACGTACTGGAGCGACTTGTTGCACATATGAATGTGTTAATTTATTAATTTTCCACGAATTCCGCCGTTGTTTCTTTATAACGGGGCGTTGCACTCGTTATCATTGCTCACATTTCCGTTACCGATCGCTAAAGATATTATTTCTCTGTTGCATTTTATTCCTATTATTATTACCATTTTCCCTTCTTGCTTTTCCCGGCACTGCAATTTGCATTACGACGTCTATCGACTTTGCCTATGCAAGTTGTGTCACAAATGTTATTATTACGTTATGTTAATGGAACCCGTGCAATATTTCTGCAAACAACGATGAGACACGTCTCTCCGGGGATCATAATTCACCGTGTGACGGCAAAACGGGTCCTGCTTTCGGTCTTTCCGAACTCACGGATCGTTTTATCCACCATTTATCATCTGGGAGGGAGGTGTCGCTGTCAATTTTCAGTACCAACCACAAGGCTTTTTCGATTCGTTCGTCGTACGGCAACGTTTTTCCCCTCGACCTCGTTCGGAAATCGAGAGGAAGAGAGAGAGAGAGAGAGAGAGAAAGACAGAAGGCGCACATGTGAAAGATCGTTTTGTACGTTAATGCGCAGTGTCACATGCGGGATCGATGATCCACGTAAACGAACGAAACGTAATCGGTCAGCAGAACCGAAATAACCGTTGACTTTATCTACGCGATATCCGCGATTTATATCACGTGCTGCTTCGTAATGCAATTTCATAACGCAATTATGCGTGTGGCATAAATCTCGCGTGCTGACGGAAGTACCAATGTGCTCACGTACACGAGTTAATTAATCGCGCGAACGTGACGAAATAGAGTGCATCTCGATTAAAGTCTTGAGAAAATTTTATTGTCGTTCGTGACGCGGAGCGCGTAAAAGGGAATAAGGTATCACTCAATTATTACGGACGAAGGAAATTAAGGGCTCGTGTAAAAACACTCGATGAATAAAGTTTAACGTCTAATGACACGCGACACTTTGCAGTTTCGTGTGTATCTTGCGATCCCATCGCGAGTTTCAGTTTGCCGCTAATTAAGTCGGACGGCTTTCTTCTATATTTCCAGGTCGAAAGTCACGACGGTAACGCTATTACGAACACTTGTTGTTTGTATGTATCTGTATACAGGTTTACATGACGATGTGGCGTGATACATGCTGGATGAGCGTTACGTTTTATCGACCGCTGACGTGTAATAGAAATAGCGGAGCCGTGCGTTAACTCTTTTTTTCTCCTCTCCCCGTAATGTTGCACCGCTCGCAACCGGCATCACGCTCTTCTAATCAAGCAGATAAAATGATAAAAGATAAAAATTGAACGAATGAATGGCAGTCCATAAGCGTGACACACGTGCATCTCGCTTATTTTAAACGGTTAATTTTGTTAGCTTTTTTGCGTTTTTATTTAGTTGCTTTTAATTTATTTCCGCAATTTTATCTAGTCTATCCATTTAGTTACTTTCTTCATCTCGCCGAGTGAGGTTCTTTATTTTTCCACATTAATTGTCGCTTTGATCTGATTTTTCCAGCTTTGTGGTGTATTTATTAACGTTGCAAAAAGCGCGGAATCCCGTCGGGTCACAAGCGCTTGGTCGTGTCCATGAAGTATTAGCGAATTGGAAGCCCATTTAATAACGATCGATCGGAATCTTATTTACATTTTCAAGCGATATTCTAGAAACCAAGGAACGTCCGTGATCTTCCAATATATTTTCGATTACGCGCAAGTGTAATCTTGCTTTTTTTGAATTTACGCATTTAGGCAGCATAAAAATATAGTAATTATGCCAATAAATTTATAATTACACTTTGCTATATAATATTATACTTGTAATTAATTAAAAAAGGACATATAAACATATAATTTAGATAAGTCGTGCAACGATGTCATAGCAAAATATTATAAAATTCGATTATGCCAATAGAAAAGAGAGAATGCACAGTTGCAAGTTTTTAAAAATGTGAAAAATAAACATAGATATCTCTTAAGATGTTCAAGTGTAACGTTATGGATCAGTTCTCAGATTTTCCGTAAAAATTCATCGAGGCTCTCCGGATATGTCGAATCTGCCTAGCTATATCCACGATACTTTCAACAGGATCGTTCAGTCGTGTAAATGCTTCCAGAATTAACCGTTCAATCCGATCTGAACGATTTTTCGCTCATCGCTGAAATCGAAGATCTACCGCTGAGAGTTTATCGGTAACTTTTCCGGCGGGGAAAGGGGAACGAATCTTGTTCTTCAACCGAGATTCCCCGAAGACTTTTTTCTCCCTTTTTTCGCGCGCGAAATCTGCGCCGGCACGAAAATAGAAACTGTCATTCGATAAATCGATCCCGCGCACCGCCGAGACGGAGGAGACTGTGGATGTCATTGCTATAGTATTGTTGCTCTCTCGTTGTGCGTGTGTACGCGTGTGAGGGTACAATCTACGTGAGCTGCAGCAGACATCATGAGTGCTTCCGGCGCGATTCCTCTGATCCTAGCGAAGAAGGAGCAGATCGTCGAAGGCAAGTAATTGCGCTCGTTTTTTCCTTTTACCTCGATAAAATCGTTAACTCTCTAGAGAGAGAAGGCTAATGGTAGGAACGATTTATTCGACAAAACCAATTTTACCCGAAACTGTCTTACACGGATTACATCAACGAAAGTTCGAACATCAATTTATGATTATAAGTGAGCAATAATGGAGCTACTGATAAATATTTATGCAGATCTGAAGGACATGTACGTGTATCGTTGCATAATTTATTGGCTTTAATAACTTATTTATTCAAACCAACTTTGTTTGAACTGTCGTGTATGCCATCGATAATATCGTCGAAAGTTTACTAATTTATTATAATAAGCGAACGTGATGAAGGTATTAATAAATATTGACGCAAGTCCGAAAGACATTTACGTATCGATGTTATAATTTTTTCTTTCTCTTTTCTTTTTTTTTTTTATACAGTTTACCGTTCGGTGACGCGCGATAATAGCGTAATCTTGAAGCTAACGATTAGGTAATTCCAAGAGAGCGCGGTTATTATTACGCTCATATATTTAACATATAATGCAAATTCCGCGTAATACAGTGTGAAATACGCTGTAATAGACGCGTGACCCTTGAGAGGAAAATAGACGTTCTTTTAATAGGTTCCACGCTAGATATAAGTCTATCTCTTGCAAATGATACCCGTGAATTGTTTGTGGAAATGATCGATGCGTTTCTGATACGTTAACCGCTGCTTAAAATATATCTCAGAAAGAGCGGCTAAATTAATTATAAGCACAAAGAAATTGCATGCTCAAGAAACATCAATCTAAATTGCATAACGCTTTTCGGAGATCTACTCTCCTCCATAACAATTCCTCCTTTATATATACAACAATTTCTCTTTCAGAATAATCCTTATCGCGAGAAAGGAGAGAAAATGATTAATCGTACCTTAAACTAGAAGTATTTCACAGGACCAGCAAAAAATCCTAAAGAAGATTTTCCCCGTGAAATTGCGCGATCGCGGGATTACGATAGAATCTCGTAAATTGACAAAGATCGAATGGCACGGCGACACGGAGGAATCCCTTAATTGCGTAACGCGTTGATCGACGCGCGACCAGCGATTAATCGATCTACGATGTCGGAGGCGCGTGAAAGCGAGGCGTCGGCGTCGCAATCAACTTGCCATTAACTGAGTCACCGGATGATGCGTTCTTTTTCCATTATTTTGCGCGCGGCTCCGAATTTGGCACGTACAAGTCTTTTTCGCGTCGCAAGCGTGCGCGTCTTTATTACACACCTGCAGCGGAAAATCCCGTTCACTCGCGATGATTGCGGCTATTCTTGCCCACTTGGATTTCTCGACTTAGCGCGCGCACGTGATTCCAAGAGAGGCGGATTCAAGATAAATATCTGCGATCGCAGATAAGCGGACTAATGAAGGAAGGAAATGTATATATCGTTTCCTTCCTTCAGTGAAATCATACGATGAAAATAATAATAACTTCAGCTCATAACGGGCTCTCCCGATAATACGCTGATTTATTTAACTGTCGATCTATTTAATATCCAATATGAACGAAGACTCCACGTGGAAAGTTTTAAATCTTCTTTATAATTTTAACTCGGCGACTAAATGTGGTAACTATTCGATTTCAGGCAGACTTATCATTATATTAAATTTCTCAATTATGGATTCTGAGAAATGAATTTTATTTGATAGAATTCATTTTAAAATAGCCATTGAATTTTGCTGAAGATTCAAGAAACGCAATTTTCCTAATTATTTTATAATGTACTAATTTTAATTAAATGTATACACTCAATTATGCTAAATATCGATTTAATTGCACGTGCAATAAATTGATCCAACACGTCATAATTTTTGTTAAAAAATTTTAAGTTTTAAGTTATCGGGGCGGATACATGTTCCGCGATAACTTCCTTTATCGCCGATGCGGTATAAAAGCTTTACCACCTTACGTTCTCTCCGAGTTCGGGTCGGAGCTGGCGTTGTACGATATGTAAATGCGGGCCACTGGGAACAATGGCATAGAATCTCTGTGGATTAACCCTATCCCGAAGTAACTGTTCATCCGACGACCTCTCACGCGGAACGAGCGCCTGAATGCCTCGCCCAGCCGTTGAATTTTCAATTGGCCTCGTCGTTAATCTCGATTAATCCCTTGGACCCTTTAGTAAGAAGTCTCGGAAGCTCAATAAAAACTGCGAGCAAATGTACAAAGCCGCTGGCTCGAGTATCGAGATCCGTACAAGTGGTGTGACCCACTTCTGCCAGATCAAATTTTAACAATGGATCGATCGTTCTATGAATTTGCGATCGATTCTTCTTTCGCGCAAATTTAACGAAACATGTTACTATTTCGGACAACTATGATATGTCAAATTTTTATTAAATTATTTTATATTTTAATTTTCTATCGATTTATAAATCTCGAAATGACGATACATTTTGCAATTACTTAATAAATTATTTACTTTTGCATGGCATAAATCAAATCTCGTTATTCAACCGATTTTTCTAATAATCTAACGTTACTTAAGCTTTGATAGAGTATAGCTTTGAGATAAGCTTTGAGAGAGTTTTTCTAACCACTCTGAATTCGGCGCACGTTAACAAAAATCTGCTTTCCCCTTTTCTTTCTCGTTCTCATTTCTTTTATCATATTTAAAACATTTCTTGAAAGATGTCCGTAACTTTTGGAAAAATTTATAGAATTTATGTAATCAAAATCAATATAGGTATACTAAATACATCTATTAATTTTAAACTATTTATATTATAATTCTTTACATTTTGGCAAAACAGTAATTTCTAAAGCTCTTTTTGATCTCTAAAATAAATCTATAAACTTCGAAACACGATTAGTGAGTTTACTTAAATTTATAACTGTTTGGTAGAACGAGCAATAAAATATTGCTGAACGGCACATCGATATTTCAACAAAGTAACGAGCGTAGACGCAGAGAGTCGATCGAGCTGGTTGTAAACGTGTCTTATCCTATTCCCGATTCTCATAGTCGGCTTCGTCTCACGACTACACTACTTGCGATTCGACGTAGACGCGACAATAGATGTTAAACAGCATGACAGTTGATCTCTAAAATGCATTTGCCACAATAGTCGCTGTCACGCCGCGCGTTGTGTAAACGGTTTTCGTTTACACATTATAGTTTTAATCGCGAATTACTGGAAATTATTCGAAATCACGTCTTTATTAAATTTGTGCTAGAGCATAATCCGTCAGAACTGCTTTTTTCAATCAATCGTTTTAAGAACAAAAACGTATGATTATGATTACTTATATTTATGATGTATTATAATTCGAAAAAGGCAGAAGGAAGAAAATAAAAAGGAAAAGAGAAGTACTCGATGGTCTGGCAGCGACTTTGCATTATACGGCTCACCAGGAGCTCCGCTCTCTTTCTGCCAAGGTTTTCTAAATTCAGCATTTCTCGAAAGACGCGCGTAAGAGGAAAGACTGCAGTTTCGTCGCCTCTCCGCGCACTTTCCGACAGCAGCAACGGTCTTGAAACTGATTTTGAACATGTCCGTTTTGCGGCGAAGATGATTATTATATGTCGCTGGAGAAGTTCTGACGGCTTGTAAATGCGATCACGTAACTCGACAGGTAAAGATCGGTTGTCGCCGATATAAGCGACATTTTCCTGTAGAATGCGCTCGTGCAATCTCGACGCTTTTTTGCAACGTAAATAGCAAAATGAATAAAAATGAGTAGTAGCGGAAAAACAAGTACAGAAGTGTTGAAATAAATGCGGGCATTAATAAAAGTTGAATCTAGACAAATAATATCACATTATTTTAGGTGCTGGGGTTCATAAATCACTCTACGCTATTCTTTTTGGTTGACAGTAAAGTGAGGAAATAACGATGTGTAATATAGAACGACTGATTGTGAGACCGACAATAAAATTGTTGGACGCTTTTCGAAACGCTTTTTGAATTTTACATCATTTTTGCGAGCGAAAATGAACATATGTCCGTATAGCAACCATTTCCTCATTTGGCAAAAGTAACGACAGAAATATTTTTATAAAGTGACGACGAGCGTTTCAGCTCTCTTTCGTTCGCTTTTTACCGTCGCGATGGTAATACTTAGCGAAGTCAGCAATTAGCGGTGCCATTTCGAGGCGTTCAATCGTTAAACGAATCATGGCATTCCGCGCGCATCTCTAGAGGCGAGCTTCGAATGTCCTCGTTACAACTCGATTTTCGCTGCGCTCTATATAACTCCTGCTTGAAGATCAGCTTAATCACAACTTTCGGGAAAATCGCGATTTTCTGAACATTAATTTCCGAACGAGATTTCTTAAAGTTCAAATTAGTGCACAGGATACACATGATCGCATTTTGACGATCTAAAAAAGAAATGGAACGTCGAAAACGAGATGAAAACGTTAACGAACGGGTAAAGGTTTGCTCGTGACACTTGAAACCTCGGCCTCGTTATATCACCTCGTTACAGCTTCACGCTTGGGCCTTATTCGCGAAACGGAAAATATAACTCGGCGCCGTATATAAAGAACGAAGTTAAGGGTAGCCCATTAAGTAATATGCAGCCTCATTTATGTTTTTTATTTATATTTGACAAAATATAAGCATGTCAAGAAGAAAATGAAAATTACCTTGTAAATTTTACTAAAGAGATATAGTAATATATAGCATTCTAATAAGGCAGCCTGGTAATATACTACCTCATTTACAATTTCTATTTATACTTGACAAAATATAAGTATGTCAAGAGGAAAATTAAAATTAAATGTAAATTCTGCCGATGAGATATGGTAATAGTATTCTGATAAGGAGATTAAAAAAAAGGAATAAAAATTTTCTATAAATTGTCTAAAAAAATTTACATGTAAATATTAAAATAATATTAAATGTAGAAAGCACGTTCTCTTTTTTGTGACTGTCAACTTCCGATAGACAGCGGTTGGACGTTAAAATCGGCGGACGTACACGGCGATTTATCCGCCGATTTAAAA